ACATTCCGGGAAGCGAGTCGGCCCATCGCCTCCAACTAACAACCCCGCGAGAAACGTCTTCGAGACGAGGGGGGCCAAGGGGCCATAAAACAGAAAGCGGGCGAGACCCGAACTCTCCCGCTCAACCGACGAGGGGGCCAGGGGCCATAAAACAAAAAGTGGATGGGGCCCGAACCCTGCCGCTCAACGCGCGGGGCAAGGGAGCGTCCGACGACCGGATGCGCTCCCTCGTGAAAACTTTAACAAAAGATTTAAAAAAAAATAGTCGAATTCTGTGACACCACCCCCAATTCAAAAATATTCACCACTGAATATTAAGACAATCACAAAATTCGACACAAAACTGGGCGGCAGCCTGCACATGTGCATACGGCTGAACAGATATTTGTCATGAACAAGCATAAACACGAAGCATTAAAAAAAAAATGTAATCGTGCTCACACAGCAAAAGAAAACACACAGACCCCGGGGGGTCCTCTGAGGCAATACAGACACTTCGTTTGCGAAAGCCAGGGTGCATGACCAAAGCCCAGTTTCTCACTTCTATTATATTAAAGTCAGCATACTAAAAGTCGCTAAACGACCAGCACGTAAGATAAGGCCCCGCAAAAAAAAAGAAGAAAGAGAAGTCTCTTCTCGTTACTCCCAACAGCTTACCGCAAAACAAAAAAAAGGAAACAAGAAAAATAACTTGAAGCCATCCAATTTCACACAGGGTTTGTGGAGGGCATGCTGACACAATTAATCTATACATACACCTCTGCTTGCTCCTAGACAAGAACATAGCCCATTCTTTTCGTGCGCAGGGTCTCCACATGCCAGTTATCTACACTCTCCCTAACAATTACCTAACAGTTACAAAAACATGTTAGGCACCACTGAGCTACATTTTCAGCCGCTTTACAAATATTCAGGAGGGCCTTTTTCTACCTGCCTAGTAAAGGGTCTTTCTCTAACCTCCCAATCGGGGCCTCCGCACCGTACTGCTTAGTTTGGAATGCCCCGTCGCCCCTGCGCCTCTTTGAAATTCCGCGTAGTCCGCTCCTTCCACTGCGGCTTTTGTTCCGAGGTCCCGCTCGCAAGCCCTCCGGCTTTGAGTGCGGGTTGCACGTGGTGAGCGCGACCGGTTCCCCTTGATTGCCGTTTCTCTTCGGGGCCCTTTCTCTCCGCGCCCGCTGGGTTTGATCACTCGATTTCGAACGCTGAAGCCGTTCTTTGCCTTCGATGTCTTCTTCCGAAGCGCCGCCTTCCGGCGCCCTGTAGGCCTCACACTCGGCGACAACGTCTTCTGGGTCTCGAAGCCGTTGTTCTTCCGTAATGAGGGCCCTTCCCTCGGTGGCTTGGCTCGCGCGCTTGAATTGGCCCTTGCCGTCCTCTCCTCGGACCTCGCCTTTAGATGCACGCGCGGCTGGACGATCGACGGACCATCACAGGACTCCGGGTCTCTGCCCCCGTTCTCGTGCGTCGCTGGCTGACTGGCGGGCGAATCTGCCTTGCTGCCGCCAGCTCTGACCTTTGCCGGCTTTCCCTGGATGACGCCGTCCTTGTCGCCGCCTCCTTGCTCGCTGCGGGCTCCAACTTTGCGCCTCTGTCCATCGAGTGCTGCTTTCCCGGACGTTTCTCCCTCGGGCGGCCCGATTGTTCCCTCCTTGTCCTTGTTGTCCGAAGCGATTCCCGGAGCCTCCGGCAAGTCCTCACTACTCGACGACCTCGACCAGCCGATGCGCCTTTTCTTGGGCGATCGCGTCTTGCCGACACGCGACGAACCGCACTTGCGCGGCAGCTTTGCAGCCGGGTCCTGGTTCTCCGGACCGTCCCCTTCAATGTGGAACCCGTCTTCCTTTAACTTGTGGGACTTTGGCACGGCAGCATCCCTCTCTGTCGAGGTCTCCTTGTAGGCCACGACCTGTTCCCTCTCTGGGGCCTCTTCCTCGGACTCGAACAGCGGGATCGTCTCTCCCAAGTAGCAGCCCCCGGCCTGTGTCTGTTCTTCGTCGACCGCGTTCCACTTCGTGGTGGATACGTCCACATCTTCGGTCGAGATGCCCTGCGGGGCCTTCCCTCTCGACGTCTCGAGGCTTACTGTCTCACGGTGCGGGGCCCGCAAAAGCTCTAACATTTCTTCCAGCTTACGAATTTCGGCCTCAGCTTTTGTTCTGTACGCGAAAAGCTTATCCGCTCGTTCTTGGGATTCCCATTTTCCTTTAACCATTTCTCTCGTCCAGTCTTGGACAGATACGAAGTCCTGCTTAGCATCCCCTAGCTGAGTCTGTAACCACTCCTTGAGGCTAGCTTCATCGAGACCTAAATCTTGCCCTAAGGCCACTAGCTCCTTAAGCTTCATATTTTGGTCGCGTGGCCCCTTCTAGTTCCTGTTACCGTAGGATACTTTTTCCATACTCGGTCGGCAAGCGGGGCTGTGAGCTCCCGCAACGGCGTCAGCCACACAGCGCACTTCCCACGGCCCAGGCGACCTCAATCTCATCCCCCGCTCCTCACGGACTGAGCCGTCACCGTGGTCAGCAGGTCCTGTCGCGGACGCCAGTTTGTCACAGGTTCGGTGAAAATTAACAATAAAAGATCCGAATGATCCCCATGCAAACAAAATTTATAATTTTGTCTGGACCGCTGACCGGACGATAGGTCCACGCCCTGGTGGACGGACTCACTGTGAGGGGCGAGGAACGAGACGGATACGTTGCGTTAAAATAACGATGGATTTACTTGACTCACGTTCAAGACAACGTACACACCAAATGCAAACAAAAAAATAATAATCACACGCTAACACTGCCCTTCTCGCGCGCGGCGCTTATACACATAGTGAAATTCAAGAAAAAAAAAAACAAAGATCACACCGCTTTTCTTATTGCGAAAGGCGCTACTCACAAAACAAAACCAAAAAAATAATAACCGGCTGAGCAGCGGTCTAAAGGCTTTGTCCACACTGGACAGTACACAAGAACAAACAAACAAAAAAAAATGTATAACACAATAATGACTCTAAATGCTATACAATTCTACTAAAGTGAGTGAGCGAACCTGGGTCCGGAGAGTGGTGTGGGTGACGCGGGCCTGTTGCGACGCTGGTCGAAACGGGGAAGTCTGTGCGTGCTTGGATGCTCCGTGAGATGCTCCTCGGCACCACACTCACCCACGAGCACACACACTTGGGAGGCCTGCAGAGCCGCTCCGAACTCTTCCCGCGTTCCCCCTTCCGCCGCACCCGCTGTCGCTCCCAACTTTCGCGACGCGTCCACCCACCGGTCCAGTCTTCGCATACACTGCCCTGACTCGGCTCGGAATCAAGCCGAGGTCCTCACTTTCTCAAATTCCAGCGGCAGACACCACTCTCCCTTGCCCAAAAAATAATTGTTTCTCTGCAGTGGCAACAACAAAAATACAAAAAAAAAAATCACGTCACACTGGCAAGCCCCGCAGTGAGCCTACCCCAGCTAACCATAAAGCGCACCCCACTCGGACATCTCGAAGCTATCCCCAACATTCCGGGAAGCGAGTCGGCCCATCGCCTCCAACTAACAACCCCGCGAGAAACGTCTTCGAGACGAGGGGGGCCAAGGGGCCATAAAACAGAAAGCGGGCGAGACCCGAACTCTCCCGCTCAACCGACGAGGGGGCCAGGGGCCATAAAACAAAAAGTGGATGAGGCACGAACCCTGCCGCTCAACGCGCGGGGCAAGGGAGCGTCCGACGACCGGATGCGCTCCCTCGTGAAAACTTTAACAAAAGATTTAAAAAAAAATAGTCGAATTCTGTGACACATACCCTACACAAAAGGGATAAGTGAAACACTATCCAGGATTTTTGCAAAAGAACACGTCACCGTGGCCCATAAACCTGTGACCACACTCGGGCGTTTTCTACCTCGGCCAAAAAGTCGTCCACCCAAGGAAAGGGCTCAGGGTGTAATTTACCAAATATCCTGCACCCAGTGCCCCGCCTCCTACATTGGAGAAACTAAAAACTTCCAAGAACGGCTCCGTCAACACAAAAATGACGTACGCAACTTCGACCGCGAACGCAGTGCTCTGGCGGAGCACTGTGAAGTTAATGACCACCGTATCGGATTTGAAGATGCAAGCATTCTGGGTACTGAGACGAACCTACGCAGAAGACAGCTGATAGAATCCTGGCATATTCAAAACACCGCAAATAACATCAATAGGTCTCTAGGCACCTTACCCAGTTTATATGTTCATGGGTTACGAGATACAATCAAGACGGCGCAGGCGAAACGAAGACAACCAGCAATCGACAATGAAGAAGAAGAGATAGCCAGTTCAAAGAAAGACAAAGAAGCTATTATCCCGTTTAGTCGCCCCTGAGGAAGAAACGAACTGTTTCGAAACGTTGGGACAATTTTTCGACTTTTTGGTTGGCGTATTTCTTTATTTTTTACATTTAAATTCACCCAGGCAGATATCTGCCGAACATGTTTACCTTCAAGTATCTGCTGCCATGCCTGTCACGTTAGAGTGAAACCTCAGCTGTCAGCTTACAGTGGAGGCCATCATAATGTGCACTCAGTATTTTTAATCGCAATAGCTAGGTTTTCGTGACTGTCTGTCATTTCCTGTGGGGTTACGAATGTTTGAGGAAATCTTTAGAGCTCGTTTTTCGCCGAGGTGGCAATTTATGAAATTATGAGGGTCATGAGGGCTTCTCAGGCCTCTGTATCATGCATTGCAGCCTCCTTCATTGTTGTTTCGTCTTTTGGACAGGAAATATCGTTTGCAGAATCCCCATGCGTAAAAAACACATTTTATTTTTGTTGAGAACCGAGGGCACGCACATTGAAACTTTTAATCTGAGTGCTAGTTTACAGCATTCATAAAAAAAAAAAAAAAAAGTATGAGAAACGGCCTTGGGGTGCTGATTGTTGAGAGTTTGATTGTGCGCAGGTCCACATTAATTTGGCTCGTCCTTAATTTGAGGCTGGTGAGATGTGAAACCTTTTTTCCCCCCCGACTTTCTCGTAGGCCCGAAGACCTGCGAAGTTTCTTTTCCAAACACGGACCGTTAACCGACGTCTATATTCCCATGGACTACCACACCCGTAGGCCACGCGGTTTCGGTTACGTGCAATATCCTTTGTGTGTGAGCATTGCATGTGCCTTTTCGCCCGCTCGCGTGTGTGCAGTGTGTTGGGGCATCCATTAAGTTTGTTATTTTGTGTAACTGTTGTTTTTGCCAGACCAAGGCACCAAGTGTGGCGTGTAGAGTTAATGATGAGGAGGGATGGCAAGGCTTGCACGGGGCCGCATGCAAGCGCCGTTTCGTGCTCGGGAGTGCCGGTCCCGTCTGTGGCAAGCAAGTGCTGCGCAGGACTGGGCAAGGTTTTCCAAGTCTTTCAGAGACAAGCCTCGAGAGAAAGATAACGTGCAGGTATAGTGAACGGCACTGCGGTGTTTCCTCTTTTCGGAGTGTGTGGGCCTGGAAACTGCACGAATCACATTGAGTGAGTACCAACACGTATCTTTTTGCCTCCGGAGCTGCTCTTGTGGGATTAGCTGGTGCCACGGGACAGCCGAGGGCTTCTCATTCTTGCTTAAGTGGCGCCGATCAACTCACCGTGTCATGCTTGTACTTTTGGGGCAAAATTAGCTATTAGCTATATTTATAGAGCCAAACGTGTAAGGCTGATGCAGTAACTTCTAATAGTCGCCAGTTACTCGACCAAACGTAATGCGCGCACACGTGCAAACTGGGTATGAGTGTGCATTTTCAAGACTTGCTAGAAAAAGTTTGGTTGGGAGTCAACCCGATGCTGCACATGGCTATCTTCGGGAGAAGGGTAAGTTAAGGGTTTAAGTGTGACGGTACGGTGCGTCGCTTCCCAGGGGGTCCCAAGATATTGTTGAAGGATGTTGGTCAGGTACTGAGTGGGACTGTAGACCGAATTTGTGGCTATAAAAGGATCTCTCTGAATTGGGAACAGCGGGAAAGAAGAAATGAACTGCAACCAGTTTGGAACTGTTGAAGGGACTTTATGTGTCCTACACTTCACCGCCGTTTGCTTCTGTTTTGATAACAACAAGGAATCCACAAGACACGCTGTGCCTGCGCTTCCTTTGGCGGTAATAATTTGCGTGGCAGGCCCGAGATATTGCATTGTGGCAGTGAGGCGGGTCTCGGTTGATAATTGTACATCTATCGCTGCCATATTATAATTATGTCAAGATTTAGTGAGTGGGTTCCAAGAGCTTCTTTCTAATTGGCTTGTTTCCTCTCCCTCATCTTGCTGTCAATAGTACCGCAAAGCATGATGTGCGGCATTGGAGCAGAGCAAAGCATGTCCGTGTTAGAAGCGTGTTTGGTTCATGTATGCTTCAACAGGTCTGCGTACTGTCTTTTATGTGATGGGACCGCTGCTTTAGGTAGAAAAATTTTCCCCGCAATTTTGGGGTTGCTGATGGGTTGTTCCCAAGATCATGCGCTGCAATACAAATTGCTGGGATCGGGCTTGGGCTGAGTCGGGCGAGGAATTATAATAAATCGGCAGCAGCCAATTGGGGATGCAATATATTTTCACGTAACCCTCCCATGGAGGTGATGGTGATAACTGATGACAAGTTTTGGCTTTGTGCCAGTTTGCTATAGATCATCATCACTTTCATAGTTTGATAGTTTCAGGGAGATCTTTCGGTACTCTCAGTGCCATTTGAGTGTAGAACATGTCATTAACTCGTAACTTTGCGTCTAAATACTTGAAGAAGATTGCCATGTTTATGATGACGACGAAACCTAGCAACACGTGTTTCACCGGTTACTGTTTAAGAATGGGGAAGGCCCATGTCGCTCGTGTTGCAGCTTTGAGACTCCGTGAAAGTTTACTCGTCTGAAAGTGGACTTTCAGTTTGAGGTTCTTTTAGGACTCTGTGCCCTTGTCAGTTCTTTGTGCCACTCAATTGCCAAGCGTAGCGTCTGCCTTCTTGACTGCCGCCCACATTCGAAGACCTTAGGGATGCGGAAGACGCCAAGTACGCCCTGGACAAGGCACGGTTCTGCGGCCGAGAGATCGAGATCGAGTTTGCCCGGGGAGACCGCAAGAGTGAGTTCCAACACATACCTTGCACATCCTGGAGACCCTTTGCAGATCTGAGGTGCACACGGTCTCTTCGGCACACCGGAAAATTGGCCTGGAAAATGACTGCTTGAATATAGACCTTTTTTTTGCAAGTGCGCCGCCATCTTAAATTGACGTCACTTCCAGTATGGGCGAAAACATTGTTTTGCCTTTGCCACGCCAATAGAAGGCATTTAGGATATAAGCGTAACCGTCACACTTTCTCGTTTTGCCTCCCCTTTATTTTTTTTACTATTTGCAGGTTGAAATGTTGGATTATTTTTTGTCGCCCATACCGGATACGCCTATTAGGTGGCTGGGGACGAGAGTGCACGGAAAAGGTCTATAGTCATTTAAAATTTTCAAGGAAGGTGTATTTTAGTGGCACATTATACTTGGAAATTTCAATGTGTGGCTCTTTTCCTGGGATAAATGAGACCATCACCCTTGGCACGGTCAAGTGCAAACGGCTATGCAGACTACAAAATTAGCGAGGGATGTGCTTGTGGCGCCATCTCCCGAGAGGCACGGCGAACCGACGACGCACTCGGTCAAAAGCAGACGAGTCTGTTGACTGCTTGCTGTGCCTGTCAGGAACTGGTGCCACGAGCCCATTCCTGGCTAACTCGGTCATCAGTGTTGCCCTCTGCCGTTGACCGCAGCTAGGGGGTTTGCCTCATTTGTCGCGGGAAAGGAGTTGCACCTTGAAATTTGGCAAGGTGAAATGCTCCACTCAAAGACATTAAGAATTTTACATTGCTATTAGCATGTGCAGGCACTGATTTGTTTAATGGTCGATTTCAGGGCAAGTTTGATTATCAAGACACTCAATCATGTGACAATCATTAGAGCCCAGTAGAACCAATTCAGCCGGAATAGAGCCTGTCGTGGTTTTAACACGTCGTGTACATAGAATTTTAGTCGTGCCACCTGGAACGACAGTGGTGAAGAGGTAGTGCTGTGAATCACTAAGTCACTTCTTCTTTTTTTTTTTTACCTGCCTTCAGAGGCCGAGATCCCCTCTAACCCTCGTTATTTCATTTTAGACTGTTCTTTGTTTACATGTGCTAGTTTCTGAAAATTTAAGTGTACATAAGGTAAATGTTTGTTTCGCCCTCGATGCAAAAGGTACTACTGAGCATGGATCCAGTGCTGTCTGCCTGCTTCTTGTGGGGGTTCAGTGATGTCGTAACGCCGAGCTGTGATTGGCTCCGATTGGAATGACAGTGGGTAGACCTCACTGCTAGCTGCTTTGAGGTCTACTCTCTATCCTTCCCATCGGAGCCAATCAGAGCTCGGCATTCTGACGTCACCGCAAGCCCTGCGCAACAAGTAGACAAACCTGCGGTCCGCATAGACCTTTTCTTAAACATCCCTATCTACCACGCGGCACTGAAGAGAGCTAGAGAGAAAGGGCAGCACCCGCTCACCCGCATTTGCTTCATTTACTTTGTCGTCTGCTACAACCTGTTCTTTACATATACTTCCTGGCATTCCTCATTGCGCGGCGGACTGTACTGTATGTTTTGCAAATTGCCGCGATTGGTTGACATCCATGTGCTCCGTACAAAAGCAGATGTGCAGGCATCGCTCACAAATGGGTGCAATTTGCAGGCGAGAGAAAACCCTTTTCCGGTCATTGCGATGTCTCTTCGTCATAGTTTCGAATCAGGCTCTGTTTGTTTAGCAGCACAGTCCTTAGTTGCTTCTGGTCTGTAATCTTTGACAATTTCTGTCCTTTTACACTTATCCTGCCACAGGTATCACTGATTGTCATAGTTTCAGGGGGGGGGAAGGGGGGCAGGATTTCGGAGAAATTAAATAGTCTGAAGGGCAAGGCTTTTCACTTCTCTTGAAAGGTTCCTCCTCTTAAAAGAAGTATGCACTAAAGGCGCAAGCTCCTTTGGTCGCTAAATGAAGATGTTTCAAAGCAAAATAACAATTAGAATGCATGTTCCTTCTGCGTCCTACTGTAAACCAGGGGTTGGCAACCTTTTGCTGCAGCGGGCCGGACAGAGAAACTGAAATGATTAACCCACAAATATAAAAGATACAAAAAACCGCCACAAGCTCAAAGTGACACAAGACAAATGTTTCCTTCATTCAGGCGCACGTAAAGTAAGATTCCCGAGCTCTCTCTCAGTAAGGTTTTGTGTCTTCCGTGCGACTCGCCGGGGTGCGAAAATTCGTATTAAAATCCTTAACTAAGAGTCATGAAACATTTTGGAGGCTCTCTTTATTGTATTAGGGGGGAGAGGAGTTCCCAGCAAAGTGGAAGATTTCGGGGGTCAGGAGACGCCAAAACTAAAATGAGATAACTATACTGCTAGGACCAATTGCATGCTCCTATAACCCTGCTAAATTTGTTTGGACAAGGGCGGGATAGTTTGTGGATAAATCAATTTATATGTGGGACCCTCGAATCCACCCCATTCAAAAAGGCCGCCGTGGCTGAAGTTGGCTGGTGACGTCACCAGCCAACTGTGCGGCGTCCCATTTCACATACTCGCAAAACTTGGCTCTCTTGGCGTCTGGGGCTTTGGCTTCCTCGTTTACCACGAAGGAGAATAGGAATCTAATTCCGGGGCATGCTGTTTCAGAGTTAATAAGTCAGGTTTTTCCAGGTTTGCAAGCAAACATATTTCTTGTCCAGGAGCGTGTGAGTGCATGTGTTTGTCGAACCCTCTTGCAAACAGTTGCAGGTTGCTGCAGCAGATGGGGACGGCAGTTCTCTATTCTCGCTAATACTTGCTCTCTGCGGTTTTCTTGTGGAATTGTTTACACCTTAGCCACCTTCGTATGGCAGCAACGTCTCATGCAGCGTCGGCAGCTTTGGATGCATTTTTAGTAGGCGCCAGTTGTCTGACCACTGACAACGCCATCATCATTATTTTTTTCATTATTGCAAACGACTAAAAATTATACCTAGAGATTGCCCCCCTGAAAATATTGAGCCTGAGAACTGCTTATTTGCAGAGAACAAAATATTTTCAAAAAGCTTCATTTGAAACGTCTGCCCAAATGTATGACGTGGTTAGCGAAATGGTGCAGTCCTTGCCTTTTCGAATCCCTCGAAAAGGAAGTGTCATTCAACTTTCTCTGTTTCCTTCTCATCGTTCATGTGCCACTGGGCCAACTGTGAGAGTATTTCACGATGCCTTTTCTTCGCGTGCAGCTGATGCGTTACTTTTCAGTTCCTTTGTTTTTTTAGTGGTGTTAGTTGGTCTAAAACAATTTTTAAAAGGGTAAGGAAGAGAACGACGTGTATCGGCCCTTGGTGAGCGACGTGAGGGGCAATGTTTCAAAGGTGAGAGGTTATCCGGCACCAAAAAAAAAACAACTCGTCCGAGCCGTCCTCGACTTCCCCGTCGCCGCCTTTCAGCATCCTCGGCACGGCCACCGAGTGCCACAATGTCGAGTGTGTGAAGAAAAAGCTAGGAGACGTCCAATGTTTTGCCATTAACACTTCTGCTCTGATTTTTATTTTTCTAAGTGGCAGGAGACATCTCATTTGCACAACGCAAGACGCGAAGTGACACATGCAAACGAAATGTAAAACGGAGCCACGTGCTCGTACAGCATTGCTCCGTGGAAGCTATACTAGCCTCAACAGCGTCACACAGGAAAGTTGGTTTCTTCCTTCAGGCTTCGTAATCGTCCGCTCTCCCCGGGGAAAGCCCTCCCATAGGGGGTGGTAGGTTTCTAGACCGGCACCTAAGGACCGGCGCCAAAGTGTGGCGTGAAGAGTCCGACAAGTTTCTCCTCCCCTCCCAGCCCCGACGGAGATGAGGGGCCGGCAGCAGGGCGACAGGAGGCGCTCGTCCTCGGGCCGCAGCCACCGCGACGACCGGGGCAGCAGGAGGTCGCGCTCCCCTTCGCGCAGGGACCGTGGCCGCAGGTGAGGACCACTTTCTCTTCGTCGGAGACCCTTCCACGCGGTATGGGACACAGTCAAACGCCCCTTCCACGAGCTCTGTTTTTGTCGTACGATTCCCGTCGTCGTAAGGGATGAGTGGCACGTTGTGGAAAACTGAATGCGAGCCACTGTGGAATGCTGCCCCCGCACGATGTGGGAGCCACTCCCGTGCAGTTTCGTTGATCTCGCTCGGTGTTTGGCGTCGCGGAGGTGGAGTCGTGACTCAGTCGGAACACGCTCGTCGAACTGCAGACCGCAGGTCCAGACCCCGATGGAAGCGCGGGGTGACAGTCGGAAACTTGGAGCTCGCTCCGACTGAGGCTCGTGAACAATCTTGGTCGGATCTCGACGAAGGTCGGAGCATTTGTCAAACAGCTGCCCAGGCAGCGAAATGGTGTTGGCTGCCCGCAAAAATTTGTGTCTTACGAAAAAAAACTTAAATGGCGATGCAACTATTTTTTTTACTTTGAGTAATTACCGCTTTGAATTATTCCTTTTTGCTCGTAACTGACAAAAGACATTTTTTTTCTTTCTGCAAGCAATGGTAGTCGCACAATAATGTTTAGAAAAAAAAAAAAAATGAAAGCCGTTTACAACTTTCTGTATTGCCGAATTAGAGTGCAGCTCTTGAGGAGAAGGAGGGAAGGGTACTGAGGGTCACGTGTTCTCGGGGGGGGGGGGGGGGGAGAGGGGTCACGTGACCTGGGGGAGGTTTCACGTGACCTCGGAGGAGGGTCACGACGTCGGGGGGGGGGGGGGGGGGGGGGGGGGGGGTCACGTGTCCTCGGGGGGGGGGGGTCACCGAAGGTACCCAAGGTCCTCCCGAAAGAACCCGAGGTCCTTCGGGAGGACCTCGGGTTCCTTCGGGAAAATGTACCCATAATGCACCGCACGGTTACGCCGACGGCGACGCCGCTGAAGCCGGAAACAGGCACCTAAGAGCTGCGCTCTAGAAAGGCGGCACTTACCCTTTCCACTCTCAGCCAAAACGAGCGGCCACATGATCCTGAGTCAATGATATGCTATGCCACGCGCTGGGGTTGTAGCGATTGAAGCGCTATACCATTTGCGCCAAATTGTGCCAAGAACAAAAGTCCGCTATCGCTTGCGCCGAAATTCAATTTTTGCAAAGAGTTGCACTGCATCTGCACCAAGCTAAACTTAAAGTAATTGCTGGTAGATTTTAATATTCAGAGAAGTAGAAGAAAAGGAAAATGGTATGAATATGTATTCGATGGCGTCTCTACTCACCATATAGTTTCTTTTATCTTTGGTAAGAGCACGGTCAAAGGCTCGAACACACGCACACACACTACAAGCTCAAGTCGCGAGGCATTCGCCGGGCATCACTGGTTTAGCCGACAAAAGAACTTGCCCAGGGTGATGACAAATGCCTCGATGCTGTGCTCTCAACGCTGTTTGATTGGTTCCATCGGCCGGTGTCGTGGGCTGCGTGTGGGCTTAAAGGGACCATGAAATGACCTTTTTACTTTTTCCAGATAACTTTTACATTAAACCGTCAATGTTCACTGAATGCCGAACAGGCATCCGTTTTCGTCTCGGCTTATTAACTTCTACACAAAAAATGATTGAAATATCGACTTTTTCATTCTCTCCAACTGACCGCAAAACAAGCCGTGACATAAACCGTTTCCGGAACCGGAAGTTCTCTCGGCAATAGGAGAATGGGAGTGTTAGCGGCAACGAGTTGGGGTGCGCCGGTAGGTTTTACTGCGCTGATGTCACCGACGTATTTCCTGAATCGGCGCCTCTCATCGCCGCATCGCAGCTGAGCGAAATTCAATGAGATATGTTGCGCTACAGCGACAGCATGGGACTAGTCCCATACGCCGGTATGCCTGTTGGGAAGTGCAGCGAGTCTTCCGGTGAAGACTCCAGAAGTCAACCACCCTGTCATTGTTGGCAGAAGGGCCGGCCCGTGTCAGTCGTTTGCAAAGCGACGTAGATGGCGTTTTTCGCGGCCTCGGAGATGCAGGAGCGAGCCGACGTTAAAAAAGATACGTTTGAACTAAGAGTGTCAGCAAGAGCCACGTAAATACCTGTTTACACTCGGAGCGGACGCGCGCGCTCGATGGAAGTGCTGTATTCGCGCTGTTTGTAAGCGCTTCGGGACCGTTCTTTTACGATTGCAACTCGATACTGACGCGACACTCGGCAAAGAAAGGTCGGACCGGGGTTGTACGTATACCTCCCACGAACTGTTATAGCTCGACAGTGACGTGCAGTCTGTCAGAATAAAAATGGCATACCAATAACAAAGTGTACATACCGTGTTACGAAGGTAATCCATACGGCGTTTATTTCAGCTCTATATCACACAAAACAAGAAGATAGAATCGACGAGAGTCCCTTTTCGACGAGTGTTCGTCAACACTGCCTCGGAAAACAAGGGGAAGAGATTGACCTCACCTCTTAATCTAGAATTGAGGTCAGTGATCAAACTATAATACGGGAAGGGTCCACAAGGGTCGCGCGGGCATATTCCATTTAGCACGCCAGTCGGTCGTAGGCGGACGGTCTTGCGACGAAGCAACGCAGCGCCGAGTCGGAATGCCTGCTAGGCCTATATTCTGAGGAGCTCGCTTCGTCAGAGTCGGTGGATCCAGCGTTCTTGTTCGTCGTGGTCTGTTTTAAGTACTGTTTTCTTGCTGCTTGAAGTCGGCACGTGCGGGAAGAACACGTAGAAAAATAAACGTTCAGTCAGTCAGAGTTTTGAGAGGAAGGAAAACAAAGAAAATGAACGTTCGTCGGCCGCCGCCACCCAAGTAACTGTCGGCCCTGCCCTACTGCGCACGCGCAGTAGTTGCTTCGTTTACCACACGATAGATGGCGCTTGGCTCTCAGCATTATCGAATTTGGCAATTTTCGCCACACATCTCTAATTATGCTACAAAATGTGGATCTGAATATTATTTAACAAAACTTTTAGGAAACATTTGCCGGCTATTTATTGTTTACGATCGCGGAGCTGGTGAGGTAGGCTCTTACCCAATAGGCGACCTGGATTTGGCTGACGTGCTCCATTTCCGCGGATGCATCGTAGTGAACAGGCGAAGGAAGGAAGGCGCAAAAGAGTCGAGTTTTCTTTTAAAAGTTCTATAGCAAATAATTTTTTTTGGCTCCCTATTTTTGTGTTTTTGTGTTTCTTTTCACACCTTTTACGACGTGCGGTGGATGAAACTCGATTTTAAAATCATTTCATGGTCCCTTTAAGACGAAACCATGAAACAAAGTATGGAGACTGCGAGGAGCGAAAGTCCATCCCCTGGCCTCGTCATCGTCCGAATGTTCAGGCTATGTCAGCAGTGTCGGGCGCTAAGAGTCGCGAGAAAAATGTGCATAATAGTGGGATGGCGGCTACTGTAATGAGACAGAACCAGGGCCTTTTACTTTTCGTCCAATCGCGCGATTATCGTGTCTGCCACAGGCCTCCGTGCCGTGGCCACTATGTACCATGGCATTTGCACCACTCGCACAAACCTTTACTGCCCAACACTGGTGCGTGGTTCCAGCCTCACAGCTTTGCACCGGAGTGCTAGGAGCAGCGGCTGACACGGGGGAGCGCTGGGTTTGCGCAATAGGCTCGGAAATTACGCTCAGTATTATTACGGGCCTTCTTGATTGTAGGTTAATATCTAATTTTAAAAACTTGCTCGAAGAATGGGGCAAAAACGCTGGTCTGTACTCGAATAAATACGGTAGTCAAAGTAGTTCCCGTGCTGCGGTCAATCGAAAGGGTAGTGAACTTCGACTCAACTCTGGCTCCAGCGCTGCTCAAGCTTGGGGGGACTTTTTTTAATGCGAAAGCATTAACGGTCCTGAAGACTGCCACTGCCACTGTCTCACCTGAGCGGCAGTCTCAGTGAGATAAGGCACCTGCTCCAAGCAAAATGGGACGGACTACTACAACCGCTTCCTTCGCCTTTGTCCGTGAAGCCGCCCCACGTTCGTCGATGGGGTTGGTTGTCCCTCGACGGGCTGCGGTTCAAATCTGCGGCACCTTGAAGCAACTCCTCTATTACTGATATGATGGGTTTATTGCATATTTACAGCAAGCAGCATGTGTAGTCACATTCGAAGTCTGTCCCCCTAACAAAAGAATCCCCCGCTTTTATAACGTTCACCCAAGGGCGACTACAAGACGTCCGTCACGTAGGCCGCGTGGTCCGCATGCAGCTAGCAGTATCGTGTGTCGCCGGAACGTGCCACACTGCCGTTCGAATGAGGCGCTCGTGGGCGAGAGCTTGGCCGTCCCGACCATAGGAAGCAACGGGGCGTGTTGTCGGCCGCGCCCAGTACTGCAGGCCAAGGCCGGAACGTGATGCCGCACACGCAGCCCCTCCGAAAACTACACCAGTGTTCCCCGGCGTGTGCATGGTTGAGGTCATTGCAGTCAGTCCTTGAGGTTTACGCCGTTGCTCGGTGCTGCATCGATCAAAGGTGTTCCGCCGCCGGATGTTGCATCTTGAGCATGACGGGATGGCCTTGCCTGCTCCAACCACGCGCTCCATTCATGTCGGGAGTTCCGTACATGCGCGGTTAAGCCCGACAGACGAATTCTAAGAAATAACAGGCTTAAACCGAGACACCCACGGAGCTGGCTTACTGTTGCTCTCAGTCCAAACAAAGGGTCAGGCATGGTTACTAGGCACCTGCTTCAAGCTGTTTTTGCCTGGACAATACGTTTTTCTTTGTTTCCTCTCTTTTGATGTCTTCGGCAGCCTGATGACTGTCGAAGACATCACAATGTCTTCGACAGTTATCACACGATACACGAAAGTCATCACACAATGTCGAAGACATCATTGACACAATGTCGAAGACATCATTGACAGAATGTCTTCGGCGTCGACAGCTGTAATGGCATCATGTTTATCCGAGACATGTCACCGTAACCAAGACCTTTGTCGTTTCTAGATGAAAAATTGCTGTTTGGACAGAGCTCCAAAGTAAAACCAGTCATGCTATTATTGCTAAAAAAATCTAAAAATACAGTTAAAAATCAATTTTGTAAAACCAAGTTTTACGAATTTCCTGATCTAACCAACAAATTTTGATTCTCCTGCAATGGTTTTATGAATTCAAAGTAGCTTCATTAAGTGACCATCAAACCTGATTAACGAAGCATTCCCCAAAAAAAATTTAAGAGGTAATTTTACATTTATATTGTTTGAGTGCCTTGAAATGTATTGGTGCCATTCCTAAGGTGACCTCAAGGCTTAGTGTAGCTTTTATGGAACTGTACGTCGTGACCGACGCAGCGCCGAAGTGAGTGCTTCGAGTTTGGAGTCAACTATACCAGGTGGCGACAGTGGCAGACGTGGCCTCTAGTTACTTCATGTCGTGTGCAACTGATGGTGCATGTGACATACCTGCTGCACAGCCGAATATTGGGAGAGTTTGGCCAGTGGGTGTGGCGACAAAGGCGCTGGAGAATAGAAAAGTAAATGAAAGGGAGGAGAGCGCCGAAGGAGCGAGAGAGAAAGAAGGGAGCAGAGAGGAGACGACCGCCATTTTTGAGCAACGCTGTCGGAGACTAGTCGGAGAAGGGCGCTGCTGAGGCTACGCGTCGTCTGCTACGGGCCAACTTCTTTTTCGCCTGAATAAAAGCTTGTGGTCATACGCCGAAAAATATTCTTTTATTAGCTTTTTAACCCACAGAGGAATAACAGAATGTCATTTTCTTGCCAGAGCCAGCGATATAAAAGGCAATAATAGAGATTTAGATGCCGATCCCACGCATTCCGCCGGGAGGATGATCAAAGATGGCGGCCCTCCCCACTCAGGTGGGAGCAGCCGGGAGTTCACGCGCATGCGCCCATGCCTCTCGCTCCACGCCACGTGCTGATTGGCTCACTTGGGAGGAGAGCATTGCGGTGGCGAGATCATAGACTGACCAAACTCTCCCCATATACGGCTCTGACCTGCTGGTGTCAGTCATCCACGTAGATCGTGCTTGCTTATGAACGGTTCTCTTTATTCTTTTTCAACTTCTTTAGTCGTTTAAGGAGGACACTATGAAAAAAGGGTCAACTCTAGAACCTTTGGCTTAAAGGGATACTACAACGAAATTTCGGCGCTCATTTCTTGGTCTATATGTGTTCAAAGGAGCAGCATCACATCGAACACACCAATATCTCGTTAAAAATGTCACGAAAAGGAATTTTAAAACGAATTAAACGATTAGCAAAGAGCACCTGGTGGATGTCGCTAACTCCTCGTTTGTGATGCCCATCTAGGAACCTTGGCAGCTAATGACGGAGGTTTTCTCGCCTCCGGCCACGACGATAGAAGAGGGGCAGGAGGAACTCCCCTCTTCCCGAGAATGCCTTTTGTGTGTCGCAGAAGTCGCTATTGTCCCCCTACAGGATTACAGAAGATTAACCCGTCACTCAAAATTCATACAAAAGCAGCCGCTTCGGTGGCTAAAACAACTAGGCCATCCTCTCGACGACAGCTTCGCGGTAGCTTCGCTCGTCCTGAAACGACCTACGTCACGATTGCGTTGGATGTCACATGGTCTCCGCTGGGCCTTCTTCGAGCGCTTGCCAGAGTGGGCCGTTTATAACGAAAAATACAGCCACCAGGCTCAAAATACAAATGTGCGATTGTCATTTACGGATATTGTGGATCATATTCAACCTGTTTTTGAGCACGACGGGAATATTCCAAATTTCGTTGAAGTATCCCTTTAATATGAATGCGATTTGCAGTATATACTGAGAGTAGCTAGGCAGAATGCAGTGCAAACTTTCATCTCTGTACAGTCGGGAACCATTTATTTTGGACCAGGGACTGAAGCAAACGTCCAAATAATAGAGCAATCCCGAAAATCAGCAGATTAAAAAACTTGCCTTATTACTTCAAAGTATTCTAAAAAATTGTGTCTAACAATGTAAATATTTTTAAAAGATTTTTTTTTTTTTTTAATGGCAGTGATAAGAATTTTTTTTGTGGGAGTTTTGCAAGTGAGTTGATCTGTTGGAAGCGTGCGAGAAGACTCTCTCCCTCCTATGCTCTTACACAAAAGAAGTGGACGTAGCGAGTGAATGAACAGAATGAAAGAGTGGGGCGGGAACCGTGCCCTGTCCTCCAGAAACCACTTCAATCCAAATCAAAGATGACTGCATGCCCCGGGGCAATAAACACATTTAAATAACGCTTCAGGTGTAAAAACAGCTTATTTATCGGCAGCGGCGGTCCAGAAAATTCGCAACCTTGGGGAACCCACGTGGGTACTCTGGGAAACCTTCCTAAGGACGCAGTTTTGAGAGCCCATGATGTAGACCAATGGTTCTCAGCCATCAATGTTTCGCGGACCCCTTGTGGATCAGCAGAGATGATGGAGGACCCCGTTTGTGGTGAGGGGAAAAGAAAGGTACAGGTTAATTATGGTAATGATTTAAGGAACGGATATAACTAAGGGCTAGTGTGAAGTAGACTTTGCTCATTGACATGCACACGAGAAAACTTGCCCGAAAATTTGAATGTTTCTTTTCAATTTGAATAAAAGACAACTTTTATTGCCAGGCCAGACTGGTAAGGCAGGGCTTTTGGACCCCTAGGATGCCTTCGCAGACCCCCATTTGAGAACCACTGATCTAGACACTGCACAAGATGTTAAAACGGACATTTGGCCACTTCATTAAGAGTTCATAGTGAAAGACTTTGCTTTGCACAAGATCTTTTGCTTTTCTGAGGCATTGGAAGGGATTCGTGTTTGGCAGTGTGTGTCCTGTCAATTGTGTGGGGACATTTGCTGATGCGCCATGTTTAAATTGCAGGTCAAGGTCGTACACCAGGTCGAGGTCCAGGTCACGCTCCCACTCGTCGCACGGTGGACGCAACGACCGGCCCCGGAGCAGGGACCGCTCTCCGTACCGGGCCCCGGACAGAGGCTACGACAGGTCCAGGAGCCGGTCCCCAGAGTGACTCCCGAGATGCCCCCACCTTGTGTACTCTCATTAAAGACCTCGGCACACTCCCCCGTAGAAAGGTTGTGCCGAGATGGTGGAGCCAATGTCTGTTGGAGACGTCGGCCGCCCACCTCGAAATTACGCTCGGACTCGGTTTCTTTTGGCACTTAATTGTTTGCATCAACATTTTTCTGTTATTTTTATCAAGATGGAGACTCTGGCAAGTTGGTGATTTGTTAAGAACAACAGCACAAAAGGACCGGGACAATGGAGGAAGTAGGCAGAATGACAAAAGCCCTGACTTGAGTCTCTTCAAATCCGAAATGTCAGTATGACCCATAAAACCATTAAGGGGCCCCTGCAATCCTATTTAAGCGTCTACCTTTTTTGCGGTTTCCACGTCCCTCGGGGTTTGGGCGAGCCAGCGGGCACGGAGAGAGTAACTATACACTCCGTGCGACGCGACCGCCGCGCCGCCGCGCGGCCGTTACCGAAGGTAGGCAGTGAGAGCCGCAGCGAAACGAAACCACAACGCATACATTGGTACGCATTGAAGTCGGAGCGGTGCGGTTGCGCTGGGTTGGCAGCATGAACTGCTGCGTCGTTAAGTGCTCCAATAGTTATGCGTCATATCTCGTGGGGACGAAGTTTCACAGTTTTTCACCTCGCCGATGTTTTGTGGGACAGCGACAACGATGGACCCGTGCCGTACAACACGAGAAATTTGGTCTCCCGATCATGTCTGCCACTGTGTCGGCACGGCTGATATTTTCTACACTGCCGCTCAAGCAACCAAGGACGTCATGAAGGAGGTTATTTTTTGCTTGTTTTTGTAATTTTAATTTGCCTATAACTTTTAAAATAAAGCAAAATTCGAGAAAAGAAAAGGTCAGTGCAGTCAGTTTCGGTGAAAATTAAAAACCAGTAAAAAAGTCCTTGCAGGGCCCAACTAGAAATGAAAGGAGGTTTTCGTTAATTAGGGAGCTGACTGTCAGCTAACTGTATTGGGCAGGAGATCGAACTATAGGGGGCGCTCTGACCCGTTTGTTTTCCCCACGCTCGGTGTTTACTCAACACAAGGCCTGTGCACATGCCGACAGGCCTTATGGGCATGGACATGTCATCTTCTACAATAGAGCGCGGGGCACAGTTTAATGTAAAAAATACTAACAATCGACGAATCGACGTTAAGTGCCGGATCTATCCTCAGAGAATGCGAGCTTGACCCACTTCGACTTTTGTGCTGGGCTGGGATCGTGCATGCTGCATTGTTCATGCAGGCCCTAGTGGAAACAAGAGAGCCCCTCCTCCCCCTCGCCGGAGAGCGCGAACTCCAGCCGAACGCTGACGCCGCGTTCGGTTATGTCGGCCGAGCGCTGCGTCATTGTATTTGTTGTTCCCATCCGTGTAGTTGTTAAGTTAACCGCTTGGGGCGTCACGGTCTGTCCTCCTCCCCAATCGCTGACATCCCAAAGGACATATCTTTATTGTTTAAAACGATGCAGGTTTAGTCGCACTAAAGAAGATACCGCAACGCAAAAAAAAGTTCACATGCGCGCGCGCCTTTTTATTTTTGTGTATTTTTCTTCCGCTCCTCACCTCCTCACTTCTTTTGATTTGTGACATCAAATATCATAAAATTTAAAAGCTTTGTAGGCAACATTTCTATAACATCTAATGGCTGCAATTGTAAAACATGTTCTTTAAAGGCCGATGTACACTTCGCGCTTTCCACTTTTGCAAGGCCCCTGCTTTCCTATGTCCTCTTCACTTTTTACCTTGCCCCCCCCCCCCCCCCCCCCCCCCTTGGCTCCTCTCGCAGCTTAGGAGAGGGGACCGCTAACAAGATAATCTTCCCTGCAGAAAACCAAGGTTGTACGTCGGCCTTTAACACAATTGCGAACGCACTACAGCCCTTTTTGAAGTACTGAAAATCGGAGTCTGGTGTGATGTCGCATCCTCCTCCCTCAAAAAACATGGCGGCGCTCGACGCATGCAGCAGAGGATGACCAGTGAGTTGGGGAATTGGTCAAACTGGTCTTTTGTAGGTGCTCGACGACCTCTCAGACTTTGAAAAGGAAATCGTCAAGTGGTCAAAACAACTTGGTGTCTGTGTATCATAGTTTCGGTCTCCGATGGGGCAGCCTTTCACGCAGAACCAGCACGACGTGGTCCCCCCACGTCGCTCACAAAAGTCCATTACTTGTTCTCTTCAACATCACCCCGTTTCAAAGAATTTGAGATCGCTGAAAGAGACCTAAAAGAACTTCAGACTCGAAAGTCAGTCGTCGTCTGCTTGCAGTGATAGGCAGCATGGCACGCACGGAGGAAACCGGTGGTTTCCGGTACGCTGGCGACATGACGTGGCGGTAACGGCGGTTCAGAGCGGAGGCGTGACTCGCAGGACGGCTCAATATTTTATGTCTCCGCACTGGCGCAGATCGTGCGGAAACATCACATTCGGCACTTGGAAGTTGTTTTTTTACTTCACAAATACTGAATTCCCAAGTTTCGAATTTTGAAGGTGATGTCCAGGCATCGTTTTCAGTAAATTTCATATAATAAAAAAAAGATATTTTGACGTGTCGGTGCCCTTTTAAGATTGGTTCAATCATGGGTGTTTGCTTACGATTTCTTACATTACAAGAGGAGTCTCTGGGACGTTTGTGTTTCGTATGTCGCATGCAGAGTCACTCCTTGAACTGGTTGCTACTAGGGGTGTCGCGAACCGGCCGCGGTTCGAGTTCGACCAGGTTCGACTTTTTCGACTTTTGGTGGAAATTTCGACGAACCTTCTATTGAGGTTCGACTCGTGTGCGCATGCGCGACAGGCTGGCCAGTTGGCTTCGGATTGGATGATAATGGCTAAGAGATGAATTAAGTGCAGCGCTGATTGGTTATTTCAGTTAATACAGCACAAAACAATTAAGTTATTAACTTCTTCAGTGATTAGAATTGGTTTCTTTAATTGCAACTGTTCTTAAATTTAAAAATAACCCTTCGCATAAAAAAAATTTCTCCAAACTTAGACATGCTTCTATAAAAGTCTGGCCACACTGTCCACAAAGTCGAACCGGTCGAATCTGGTTAAAAGTTCGGAGGTTCGTCGAACCGGTTCGACCCAGTCGAACCCCGAAAGTTCGACCAAAAAATCTGGTTCGACAAAAGTTCGCGACACCCCTAGTTGCTACGCTTCATTCAGGGGGGTAAAGGTGGGTGAGGAGGAGTGGCAAATCCCGTGCGCCGACATCCTGGGTCCCGAGTGAACGATCGCGAAAGAGAGCGACAGAACACGAGAGAAAGAAAGCAACGTTGCCATGGTAAACGCGGTAAACGCGAAGAGTGTAAACTCCCAGCAATATAAACAGTGATAATTTAACGTTGTAAACTAAATTCTGAGCTATTCTAACGCTTATAAAAAGCAATAAAGTCATTACGCTGCATTAACTTCCCTTCTGTCGAAATCTCGGAAATCTGATGGTTGCGCAGTTTCGTATTCCTCAACCGCGCCCAGCCGCGCCCCACCTGCCCCACCAGCGAAGCCGGGTATATGGTTTAGTTTAGCGTTAACGCGAGGCCGTACATCTGCGCGCTATGCAAAAAGAAACCTTCGAAAGGAACGCGAGTATTTTTCCACCGGTAAGTTCGTGGATTGTTGAAGTTCACGAAACTGCTCTGATGATGAAACCGTGTTTGGGACCCAGAGGGTCTGCCTGCATGGTCCGCCGCTTGCGGCAGCCAGAATGTATGGGAAAATGGCGGACCTTTTCCTCTAGATTTAGTATATGATCTCTATGGCTTCATTCGAAGCACAGATGTCCTAGTGACCCGCAACGTAAACGGTGGTAACATAACACGAGCGTTTCGCCGCAGTAAGGTTGCAATGCCTATTGGCTGAGAGAAAAAAGCAAAAACAAGCAAAACAACACAAACCGGAAGTGACGAAAATTTTTGTTTTGTTTGTTTTTGCTTCTTCCAATTTTACTTTTTGTTTTTACTTTTTGTTCCTCCAAGTGTTGGGCGCTTTTTGGAGCGGTCGCGTCGGTTCCAGCGGTCTTTCTTGTATTATACATTGTCGTGTTCTGTGCCGCGGTATCGCCGAGTGGAGTTGGTCGTGATGTTCAATGCTTGGGAACGAGCGTCGGCAGTCAAGTCCACAGCACATTCAGCGCATTCATGCAAGCTAGCAGGCCCCGTCTCGCCACATTGAGGCCCGTGGGACGCTTGTTCGGAACGCAAACGGTGAGTGGAATTTACCTACTGGTGGCGTTCGATCGTCGATTCGACACCGCTGTGGTGGAATTTGATAGCGCTTGGCTACCTCACGTAGCGTCGGGGACAAAGAAGATAATAGAGATAATCAATGGGAGTGGCATGTGGCTCCCGGGTGCCTCCTGCGCCGCATTTGCATCCAGTAATCGCACTTAAAGGACAACTCCGCTCAATTCCAGGAATTTCGGGGTTTTTGGTGATTATACACTAAGGTATACTAATAAACGGCTCGACGTCGTTTGTTTCTCAAAAAAGGAAATATAATTCTCGTAATCCTTCTTTACTCCTGATCACAAACCGAAACCGAAACTGCGCCCGCGCCTGGCAACATTGGCCCCGCGTCGTCATAGTCTGGGACAACCCACGTGGTACGAACGTCACCGCACGACCTCGCCGACCGCGCGGACGGACGGATCGGCGGAGCAAGCGTCGTCGCGCCGTGTCGTCTGCTCCACGGTCTCTGCTATCCAACGACGTGTGCACTACCGCGGCCGCAGAGTGTTTTGACGCAGAAAAAGGCAAGTTGTTTTAAAGTTATGTTTTGGAACCATTAGTAGTTGAAGTTAAGTAAACCACTCGTAATATGCCAGGCATCGCAGCACAAAACGTTGCTCCAAGACGCAGCAGGTTCGGTCTTCCCGACGACGAGCGCGGAGTGCTCGCTCAGACACTCATCAGCGCATGCGCGTTTTGGATCACGTGGACATCGGTGGATGGATGGATGGATGAATGAATACGGCTGAGCCCTTTGGATCGGGCGGTAGCTTACGCCACCTAGCCATTTTGTTTTACCATTTAAGCTTAGAATATTCGGTATGCACGCTGCTGGCGCCGCCTGTAGGCTGCGCCTCAATAAAGTAAAAAAC